GTAAATAATGCTGCTTACTCTCAGGATCCTTAAGGTGTTTTATCTTTCCTGAGTTCATGCCGTTGAAGGATTTGGCTATGTGTTCCTGAGAAACCTGTACGAGAAGGAGAAGAACAAGGAGCGGAAGCCACATAAAGGCTACTCCTGGCACACGGGTCGGCATTTTGTCCCAGGCAAAGGACAGACAAATATCGATCGAACTTTTGAATGATTGCCTCGTTTGGTTGGGATTAAAACTGGGCTCCTTCAGTATGGCGTGCACCGAAGCTAATCACGATCCCGTATGCAGATTTTTCGGACGAACCAACTAGAAACTATGCCAACGTTTGCTTCTGTGAAATGCAGCAAAATTTTTCAGTTTGGATACTTTTCCGGCATAGGGTAAGGTGTGTCAGGTCACTGCTGTGTCTCCCATGAGTGTTTTATTTGAACGAATGAGGAGGCAAGGGTTTAGAGGGGGGGGGCGTACGAGAGCAGTTGCGCTTTGCAGATCGTTCGTGGAGCTTTTGCTCTCAATCTGGTGTCGGTGCCGTGTGATTCGCCCCTTGGGTCTGAGGCCTAACACGGCGACGATTGTGCTCTTATAGTATAGGGTCTGTTTAACGTTGGTAGCCTTCCTGTACAGTTTATTTCGCCATTCACTTACCGCTTGTCGAGGATATAAGGACTGCGGATTTATGTCAGTTCTGCTCTCGTTGCAAAAGAATTTTGGAGGAAGGTGTCGTGTACCAATTCGTAGAGATTAAATAGCTCGCTCTTAGGGTTTAACAGTTTGTACCAGGATGTTACCTTGACTCGAAGATCTGCCCCTCCAACTCCACCCCTATACATATGCAGGCTAGTCACTTACTGATCTGGTTAAAAGGGCAAAACATATTCGTGCCGTTGTATGTTACACTTAAGCCTGGTGGTCATCTAGAGAGCGGTAACACTTCACAATAAATATCCAATGTAGTTTGTAGGTCTGCATACAAAATACATTTCATGTTGACATTATAAAGGGAGCTGAATTTCTCTGGATAAATTATACCGGCACCCCAACACGGCTCAGTATCTGTATTAAGGAACACCGTGAGCTGTCCAAGGAGGTTGTGGAACCAAATGGACCTGACAATGTCAGGACCCGTCTGGGGAAGTTCTTAGACAAATAGGCAAAAAGACATGGAACTCATACGCCAAAAATGTGCCTGTGGGGTGAACCTGTAAACGAAGACAACGTCGAACGCGGACTCAGCTGCATCATTATGTTGCCAAAAGTCATCCGAAAATTTTGCTCAGTTCCTGGCTATGGATGCACAAGGAAGCAGCGATAAACGTGTCTGTAAAATGGCATCCATTCCAAATATTCACAGCCAGTCCATGGGTAGCCGGCTGAAACCTCATCGCACCGCTCTCCCCCGCTCCCCCCCACGTTCTTTCTCTCCACATGTGACACCGTGTCAGCCCAGCGCTCCTATTCTCCCCATATATTGGTCGACATGCTCGGACAGACCACTATTATATGGAAGATAGTGAGGTCAGCACGGAGGGATCCTCTCCAGTGTTAAATCACCGCATACCTCACTAGAATGAATATGAAGAGCTTGAACACACCGTACATTTCCTATGTCATGAAATCTCGCCCAAAGGGCGTTTTCTTTCGGAAAAGACAACTTAAGTTGCCTTATATTATTGAGTTTCGTGCAGTCTAATTCTAAGATACTTCAGTCCTCTCATGGGACCGGTCTTAGAATGAGCTTCATTCTGACAGACTGCAAAAAGTAAACTCTATAAAAATTTCTACTTAAGTAGTCTGCATTTTCCCCACTTACTTTCATTGTTCTTATAAATTTGAATAACTTTTGTTGTAACCATGCGCAAAAACAATATTACGTATACTTGTTTGTAAGCAAAGTTCGTTAAAGGAAATTTAAGGAAGGTCACTGATTTCTCTACGCTGGAAGAAAAAGGTCACATAGTTCTCCTAAAAGGTTGCAATAAATGTGGGTCATATTGTATGTATTGGATAAGTGAAGTAAGTTGCATTCCGAGATGATATGATGAAAAGAAAGAAGATCTTCGGAAAATCGAATTGTACTCGATTCTCCGAAGATTTTCTTTCTTTTCATTGTATATGTGATAGGTTTCTCCGCTGCAAGGTCAGCTGAATTCTTTTTCTTTCGTTCTTGTTCTTTCGCTTTGCTGACCTTGTTTCCTCTCGCGTCTTCTTTTTTGCTCCTCTTCTCATTTTCCCTTTCTCTCTTTCCTTCCTTCCCTCGTTATTGCCTTCGCTCTCCTTCTTCATCTGCTTCGTTTCTTCTCTCCTTCCCCCCTCTGTCTATCCCTTTTCCCTTGCACAACCTGCTCTGCCATGCTCATCTTCGATCTGTTTTCCTTTTCAACGTTGCGCCCATCCCACATCAGGCGGCCGATAGCTAGGCGGTGGCCTGTTGCTAGAGGTGGGGAAGAAAGTGAGGTCGACCCTTGGACACTGCAGTCGGTCCAGCGTGTCTTGTTGTGTGTAGTGGCTGTCTGCGAGCTGAATGTCAGATGTGGCCTTTATGGTGCTCACAGTCGGGAACATACCTAGCAAGACGTGCTGTTTGGTAAGCGTATTGAGTGTTTGTCGCGCCAGCCGTCTGCGCCTTTCCGCATTTCCGGCCTTCTTGACTCTGTCCTGACAACTGATTTCCGGTGCTGGAATGGTCAGGGAGCGAGGTAGATCCGGCGAGTCTACCTTCGATTTAATCCAGCTACACTCACCGCGTGCTTCAATTCGTTGAAGCGCGTAGTGGATATCGTCGAAAGCGACTGTCGAACTATCATATGTGATAGGTAGCGCTAAGAAATGCAGGGATAAGATGTACTGTGAATGAACATTTTAGGATCGTAGAAAGTCTTACAATTATAAACCTTCTTAAACCGAAAAATACCGTTTCATTGAGCACACACTTTTGGAAGACGTGATATGCTACCAAACACGTACAGAAAAGAATATTTTTTGTATGCTTTCTGCGGAATGTATTTGATTTCACAAGAGCGTGGAAAGTCACTGAGAAAATGTATAATGCTCTAGAGTACGCTTTTTGCAGGTGGTTGGAAGGGGCTCGTTCAAAAGCCGCTATCCTACCATGACATACTAGCTTGTAGTCGTGACTTAAACTGTTACCACCTCTGGCCTACTTAATACTGAGAATCAGGCTGAAATACCTTCCTCTTAAAGTGGCCTGTATGACAGTCCACTAATGCCAGGTAGGAGAACCTGGCAATGAAGCTTGTGAAGTAGGAACTAAGGACGATGGGAGATAGCATGCTTGATCAGCCGCTGCTTCGCCTACCACCTTCGGGCATCTTAACCTTGCCTGGCCATCGTTTGTGTTCGAGGAGAGAAAGAGAGGACGGGTGAGGTGAATGCCACGCAAGCCGGCTACACTAAAAACAAATTCGCATGCAGGTCATGGCTGCACCACTCCGTGTGACACAGTGGTGACCCTCGTGTCTTGTTGCGGTCGGATTATGGTACCAAATGGCTTGTTAGTGTGCGAGAGTAAGATTAATTGCATGGAAAAGCCTCTTCTGTTCCGAACATTTAAGTCGTCCGGCCTTTTAGAACATTACCAGCAAAGACATGGGACAATAGGAAGGCCTTTTCTGCCTCATTAGGCGTCATCGGCTAGTGATA